TTTTTCGTTATAATTAATTTTTCATTATAATTCATTCATCTAAAGCCGATCAACATTTGTATAGTCTTCCCCATAATGCAACAAATAACACAAAATAATGTACATGATAGTCTCAAGTAGGGATACTTCTCCTAGACAGGCTCGACCCTTGTGTTGAGCTCCCCATTAATTCAACATTATGCATGATGCAGATAAATCGAATCCTATTAGGGATAGTCATTGTTGAGGCTTGTTTTACTAGGTAAACAATCTAATAGGGAAGGTGCCTAGACTGGCCATAAAACGAGCGGACTACTCGAGTCGAGAAGGGACAACTTACCAGTAGCAGGGCTTTCTGGCCTCACTGTTAGTCCTTCCCATCCTAAGACATGTGTTACTATAGAATCCTTCCCAGGAGCGTTGCCGCATCTCTGGTATCTCATGGCTCGGGATAATCGCATCTCCGAATAAAGTATCTCAGAAGACTCAGATGGATGCGTGAGAAAAGATAATTATATTATAATTCACATATAATCAAAAGAGTAAATAAGCAAGCAAATAACATATTATGTCATTAAACACAATATTCACAAATCGATAAGTACGTAAATACATAATAAAGTCAATGTAGAAGTCCATGTTTACAAGCTCGAATTTCTAGTTAGTCCCCAGCAGAGTCGCCAGAGATGTCACACCCCTTTTTTGCGCGGCGGCGTAAGGGTTTTTCCAATTTAAGTGACGTTATTGATTAGGGGATTATTTTTTTTAGAGTCGCCACTTGGAATTGAGTTACGGTGTTCCAAGTCACCTTATTTACATCCCTAATCAAAAGGAAGTTGATTCATTATTTTATGGTCTGCGAAATCAAAAATCGGGTAAGGAATTCTGTTGAACAAAGGGAAGGTATTAGGCACCCCTCGATCCCGTGGTTCTAGCACGGTCGCTTTATGGACATTCATGACTTAAACTAATTTATGAATATTGTATTATTAAGACAAATGTATTTACCCTCATTATTTGATTTATATTAACATATTTAAAACCATCCATTTTAGAAGCATGTCAAGTTTTTATACATTATTATTTTTTATTATTCTTTCAACATTTTGCTTGTTTCTTAATTTCTCTTTTTTTTTGTACTAATTTTTCACGTTTTTTTTTGCTTAACTTTCCTTATTTTATATTCTTGGTTTTTATATTGATTTTCTTCTTTTTCTTTTCTTACTCTTTTTAATATTTTTTTAATGATAATAATAAATTATTTTATATATATTTAACACTATACTTTTTGTATCTTTTCATTTTTAAAGTATTTATTTTTTTAATTTTTCGTGTAAATTTTTTACATTCCTTTTATTATATATTTATTTTTTATTTTTTATTATTCTTTTTCTAATTCGAACATTCCTTCTTCACTACTTTTCATTTCTTTTCTTATTCACGTATTCTACCTCTTTTCCTTATTCCATTTTTATTGTTATTATTTTTAATTTTTTAATTTTTTTAAATCTTTTTTCTTTCAATTTATTATCCTCTCT